GTAGTCTCAGCTACTCTGGAGACCAAGCAGGATGAAGCCTTGAGCCGAGGAATTCAAAGCCAGCCTAGGCAGCATAGCAAGACCACGTCTCTAAAAAAAATAAATCAAAAAGAATAAATAAACCAGATTTTGACCTCTTTGATTATTTTAGGTTGGCACCCCTTTGTCCCGTATGTACAAATAAGCTCTCTGCTTTCCCCTTTCAGTCCCCTGCCACTTCTCCCAGTCCCCTCCTTTGTATTAAAAGAAAAAAGGATCTTCAACCTTTTCTGCACCCCTGATATAACATGTAACTTGTTTTAGCTGGACACCAGCACTTGTTTAAAGGGATTAAAAGTGTTCTGACCCTGGTTTTCAAACTTAAGCATGCTTTGCAATCACCTGGAGGGCTTGTTAAGTCACTGGTCACAGGGCCCCAGCCCCAGGGCTTCAGGTTTCAGGACTGTGGGGAGTGGGGGAAGGGGGAGGCTGAGCATCTCTAACTGTTCCCAGGGAGAGCTGCCCATCCGGGACACTTCTGAGAACCACTGGCCCAGCACCTTACCCATTTTGGATGTGTCTTTCCTTATGTACGAAGCACCCACCACATGCGGGGGGCTGTGGCAGGCATTCAAGAGGCAGAGGTAAATAGGGCAGGTTTGGTCCCTGCCAGCTATTATGATTATTGGTTTCTTTAGACACAAATTTGTCTTGCCATTTTCTCTTTTGAGATTTATCTTCAGTGTTTCTCGAAATCCAGTCTTCCTAAGTCTAGGCTAAATGTCTAAGAGAATGTTTCCCCAAGTGCAGCTCAGGGACTGCAGCATTAAAATCTCCTGCAGTTCCTATTTAAACTGCAAACTCTGGGACCCTGATTCTGGAAATACTGAACCCGCAGGTCTAGGGTGGGGCCCAGGGCTCTGGTTTGTAATGAGCTCCACACCTCCTCCCCTTCCTGGGGAGGGTCATCTCTTTAAGCTGAGGGTTCTTGGCTATGAAGAAGGAAGGTGGTCACTTTCTCACAAGCCTCCTGCCACTTGTGCTGCACCAGGCAGTAGCTCTGGGTCAGACATTCATAGTATCATTTCCCCTCTTTCTTCCACTATTTCTGATAAATAAAGTTGTCAAAGAGACTTTGTTGGATGTGCAATCTTTAACGGTACTAGCCATGCAGCAGATGTCCCAATTGCTCCAGACACATCCCCCTGAACCCCCTTCTCCATTGCTTCATGTCTAGGTAGTGATCTGC